AATGGAAAATGCTGATGCTTTAGTTGCTTATGTATAGAAGTTTGTAAGAGAGAGATAATCAAAGCACTGAGACAGTACTGAAAGACGGGGCCAAAATAATCTTTGTGCTAGACTTCACAAATGTGATTTTTTTTACGAGTTTTGATAACAACTTAATTTTTTAGTAACATGGTAAAACTAAACTGTGAATAATATAAATTCACGTTTTCAATTTATTTGAAATATACATTTCAGTAGTTGCAAAGTTTAATAACCTTTTTGAACTGTCCGAATTTCACCAGGTCCGAATTAATATTTTTTCGGAAGTTACATAATTTATGCTTAGGCAGTCGTAATACTACGCAGGGGAGCACTTTGTTCACTAGTGCGTTTGCAATTAATATTTTCTTTAAAAAAAATAAAAAACAAAAACAAAAAAAAAACAACATTAATTTGAGTTAGAAAAAATTCTTAACACTTTCTTCAGTTTGATACAGAATGTTTATATTTTGATAAAAACAATTTCTGGAATCTTTCGCATAGTTTAGATTTAATTCATGTTTCCCCCCTCCCCACGGCCTCCGTTTTGAGGCCTCATGACCCTGTCTAAAAATGAAAATGAAAATGAATATAGTGGCAAAATCTATGTTTTGCTGTAGCCAGAAAACCCAAAATATGTTTCGGATCAAAAAGTAAAGTAGATGGTGCTCAATTGCATTATGTAATTAAGATTCTCTGAAAGTCTCATCAATTTCATTCAGTGATTGAGGCATCAGAAAGTTGCGGATATGAGATAGCTAGGTAGCCCAAAGCGTAACAGACGGACGTACAGATAGACAGACAGACGGACGGACATCCCGATTACTATATATTCTTCAGCTTTTCAAGCAGGGATAAATGATACCCCCGCCACTAGTATGGAAATAATGGCAGTGTCCATGTTATGCTTTGGGAAACGAAAAATATGTGTCGGATCAACAAGTGAAATAGAAGGTGCAGAATGACAATGTGAAAGTTTCATCAAATTTCATTTAGTGATATTAGAGGAGTTGCGGATAAGACATGAGTACCCCCGAAGCATTACAGACGGACGACCGAACCACAGGTACTTTTTTTGTATACGGGGTATACATGTACCCCCTACATATTTTTACCACAAGGCACCTAACTCATTTTCAAAATCGTATTTTGTTAAAAAATCAATCATTAACCTACTTTAAAATGACATCCTTCGCTTCATGTGACTTTTTACTTGTCAATAAAAACGTTTTATACGTTTTTGGTCGAGCTTCTTTATTATAAATTACTCATTTATTCCTCGAATACTTTTATAGACTTTTCTTGGGGTACAAGTAGTTTCAGTTAGGGTTACAGATTAAGAATAAAACCAGAGACATCGGAATGGAATACTAGGAAGCCTCTGGTTTTATCGTACCCTCAACCGGAAGTTGTTTCCTGATAAAAGTCTTGTAATGTATCGAGGTCATATTCGAGAAATGAGTGGTTTACAATAAAGAGGCTCGGCCATACATGTCTGAAACGATTTAATTAACAAGAAAAAAGTTTCTTAAAGCGAACGATGTCATGTAAAGTAGGTTTTAATTTGATATGTTTAAAAAATATACGAGCTTGCAGCGGAGATGCCTGAAAAAGAGTTAGGTACCTTGTGGCATGTATAAGTAGGGGTACCCCGTATACAAAACAAGTGCCTGTGGGACGTATAGACGGATAGACGGACATCCCGATTACTATATACCCTCCCGCTTTTCAAGTGCGGGATATAAAAATAGGTTCCTCCAATTGACCTAGAATAACCTTGGGTCAAGACCAAAATTCAATAAAACAATACAAATTGGAGCAGAGCAAAGACGGACCTGCAAAACATTAGAAGTGGGATCAGGTGCCATTGAGGAGTGAGCATTCCCAGCCGACCGGTAACACCCGCCGTGTTCTCCATGTAATGATCGGGAAATAACGGGAAAATCCGTCGTCAATTCAGTGTATGAATAATGGATTAACAATTGGTATGAAAAACGCACGTCAGCATTTGACTCAATGATATATAACTCATTCTTCAATACTGGTGAATTTTTAAAATGTATTTCTTTTCTCCTTTATTTTCCAATAAATAAAGTGTAAGCAGATAGATTGATATTGATATGATTTGATACTTGTGTAAGGATATAGTATAAATAGTTTTATGGATATGAGTTGAGGAATAAAAAAATTATTGATCATTGTTGTATTGCATTTAGGGGATTTCAGATGCAGAAAATGTGACATAATTTTCGAATAGGCATAAAGATGTTGTTTTATTTAAAAATAAAATAACTTGGCATGATATTTGTGTACATTATCTTAGCATATAAATGAAATAATACATTTATTTTGTCAAACATGCTAAAATTATCTTAATTATTTTTTTCTGAACTTAAAAATTTGTGGTTTATGTTCGTAACGCATGGTGTCCATGTGCATTAAACTTTTTAACACCTCTCTACAAACATTAAATAATTTGTCAAGTTCAGTTTCTGTTTTAAATTAATGAGTACGTGTGATAAATTATTTTTAACAATATGCTTCATGAACATAACTCAGCTCTTTTTGTAATTTTAAAATGATCTCTGATTGTAAAATGTTTGGTGTCTTGACCGTTACGAACATAATAGCTTTCAGTATGATCGCTAAAATAACAGCCAATGAATCATAAGTTTGGCTCAAAAAGTCCGTAGCAGTGGTGTAATTATAAATTAAAAACGAAAGTAGAAAGGTTGCGCAGCTGTCTGCTAAAAAACATGGCGATGCTCATTGTGTCCATGTGGAAAAAAAGAAGTTACGAACATAATAGATTCGGTAAGTATTTTCATATTGTATCAATTTTAGTGAATGTTTAACACATAAATACAGTCATTGTATCTTTATACCATGTAGCTATTAATCAGAAACTGAAATATGTCTCTTATGACCATACAAAATGCATAAATCTGTCCAAGTCGAGAACTTTCGGTTTAACATTTGACTTTTGATTCGCGTCTTTTGTTACGAACATGTGTTTTTGCATTATTTGTATAATCTATTAATGATAAAGTTATATTGTACTATATTTTATTCTATATTTGTTAGTTTTGTTCTGCTCTTATCAAAGGATGAATACTTATTGAATGTTTGTTTTAATATTGCCATATCATTCACGCAATTACGTTCGTAACAGAGACACGAAAACTTGAAGTAGTGACATAATTTGTACTTTAATTGCCTTCTTTCTGATTTTATCAAAGATATATAATAAATATAATTAAACAGCATATGTGTTGATTACATAATGTTGTTTTTTGTTATATATATATTTTTTTCTTTCAGATTTACAAGAAATGACTGAATTATGTTCGTAACAATGACACAAAGATCCAAGACTCAAAATAGAAGACCTAGGATATTTAGTTATTCATCTGACAATTTACTTGTCTGCATTAATTCTCTTTGAAAGCTTGTCTATTATTAAGGTTTGAAATGAAATATTAAAAGTATTAAAGACAAGTGTTCGATTGTCTTGTTATTTTTTTGTTCCTTTTTAAAGCCCGATTCGGAGTTAGGTGTCCATGTTACTTACATAATTTCTCCTTTTTTGAAACTAGAAATAAAAATTGTGACTTTTTAAATTTAATATAACATTAAACATGATTTCATCATACCTTATTGATTACATTATTTTCATATTTTAACAACTTGTTAAATTCTAGTAACATGTTACTTGTTTAGTGCTTATGTAAGTAACGGTGTCCATTGGTATTCTTGGATATATTTTCTAATTGTAATGGAATAAGGCAGAAATAAGTCATGCAATAAAACATGCAAACTAGTGTTTATATACTTCAAAAAGGATTCACCAGAAAAGAATAGCTTATTGTTCTAAAAAACAGTCACTGTGGACACCAAGTTACGTACATAAAATTTCAGACATGCTTGTACATTTGGACACCTATCTCCTCTTTAAGACTTCAGATTATCTTCCCTTCAATTTTTTTCAGAAGCAGGAAGGGTACTGACTTAATTAATATACATAAATTATGAAATTGATTATTTTTAAAAAATAACCCTTTGGTCACACTTCTGAACTCAGTACTGAAGAATGAGTTATATTGTATTTGCTGACAAGGTCATTGTATCGACCATAGAACTTACGAAATGGTGACTTTAAACAAGCTTGCTGAAATTCTTGTTTCATCAAGTTGTTTGTCAAAAATTGGCCTCGTTGTAGAAATAGTTCATACGTAGAGCATGCTCTTGCGCATCTAATTAATCAACTTAGATATGTAAATTACGTATGATGAACGTATATTGCTGCATAAGTAAGAAAAATTGACGATAGGCATCACGTTTATCATAGAGTTTGGTTGCTAGATTACCATTAACGTCTTTTCAAGTAAAATATCGAAATATGAAACAGATGTGTAGAAGTCCAGACTCCGTGGTATCTTTCATCTCAAGCTCACTATGATATATCGTATCGACATAAGAAGGGAAAATACCATTGTTAATTGACGGTACTTCGTCGATATATAACTAAATGTCGAGTTGAAGGCCACAGCAAGTGTTTTCTTTTTTTCACACATAAGATTTTACACGAATTCTGCTTTTTATGAATACAAAAATAGGTCTGCTAATAACGGGGCGCAATTGGTACCAATGGGAGTTCCAATAGATTGTTGGAGGACCTGGCTAGGAGGTTATAAACCTTGACTCGGGCTCCAGCTCCAACTCTGGCTCGAATTTAGAGGTTTCGAGTATGGCTCGAAATATTTCAGGGTTATAAAACTTGGCTCCAGCTCCGGCTCCAAATCTAGCTCGAAAGCTGTCTCGAAATTTGGAGCCGGAGCACATACTCGAAATATAGGTTATAAAACTTTCGAGTACAGAATACATACTCCAAATGGAGTATGTATTGCTTAAATCTCGAGTAAGCTAAAGAGCTTACTCGAGATTTCAATTTTGGCTCCAAGTGTCGTCTGCTTCTTTCAAGAATGGCTGCACACAGGCAATTAGTTCAAAGGCAACGTATTCCACGTAATTTTCGCGACAGATCCAACCCACTTGAGGAATTGACTGCAGATGAAGTTTTCGCAAGATATCGTTTTCACCCAGACACTATAATGGATCTCCTGCGACGACTGCCTGACTTATCATCACCAACGCAGAGGAACATTCCTGTGCCACCCCTTCTTCAGGTGCTGGTGACCCTAAGATTTCTCGGAACGGGTGCCACTCATATCCTAGTTGGTGATGATATCAAGATATCGAGGTCAACAGCTGGGAGGTGCATTAGGCGTGTATCTTCACTCACTGCGGAATTGGCACCACAGTTTATTTCATTTCCTAGAGGAGACCGGGCACGTCAAGTCATGGTAGAATTTTCCCATATTTCAGGTTTCTAAAGAATAATATACATTGACTATATAGAAAAACAATAGATTATAATATATGACACGACTAAAGGGAGACAACTTTTGATCATATACTTCTTTACTCTTTCATAAAATCAAAGCATTTACCTGTGAGCGTGGTAGAGGCTATAGGGGGAACTAGGTATGCCCGAACTGAAAAAAAAATTACATGTATATTATTGCTGCTTTCTTGTTTAATTAGTATTATGTCAATTTAATATTTGTCATATGACTAATTCATTACATTCTGAAAACAAAACAATTCCCTGTTCTAATAAATGATTCAATGATTAAGAATATCAACAGTTAAGAAAAATTTGCAAACCTTAATCATTGCTTACATTTTTTGAAGACTTAGCCATATTGCAATGAGAAAAGCTTGATTCAAGTCAAGTTGGAGTTTATTGTTATTATCTGTATTTGCTAGAGGTTGGTACATCTAAAGGGAAATAACTCTTAAGTTAGACTAGGTATTCCAACAATCTATTGGAATTCCCATGGGTACCAATTGCCCTCTGTTATTAGCAGACCTATTTTTACATTCATATGAAGCAGAATTTGTGCAAAATCTAATGCGTGAAGATGGTGAAAAGAAGAAAACACTTGCTGTGGCCATCAACTCGATATTTAGATAGATAGATGACGTATTGTCAATTAACAATGGTAATTACCATTCCTACGTCAATACGATATATCCTGGTGAACTTGAGATAAAAGATACCACAGACTCTGACACATCTGTTTCATACTGGGATATTTTACTTGAAAAAGACGTCAATGGTAATCTAACAACCAACCTATATGATAAACCTGATGACCTTAACTTTTCTATCAGTAACTTCCCTTACTTATGCAGCAATATACCTTCATCACCTGCATACGGAGTATATATATCTCAGTTGATTCGATACGCAAGTGCATTCTCTACGAATGAGCAATTTCTCAAATAAGGTAAATTATTAACAAGCAAGTTGATGAAACAAGAATATCAACAGTCTCGTTTAAAGTCATCATTTCATAAATTCTATGGTCGATACAAAGACCTTGTCAGCAAATACAATTTATCATTGAGACAAAGGCTGACTGACGTTTTTCATACTAATTGTTAGTCCATTATTTATACACTGAATTGATGACAGATTTTTTACATTATTTCCTGATCATGACAAGGAGCACACAAGGGGTGTGACTGGTCAGCAGGGGATACTCACTCCTCTGATGTTTTGGAGGTCCGTGTTTGCTCTGCTCCTATTTTGTATTGTTTTATGGACTTTGATATTGAATACTGTTCATTATCTCCATATCCTTCCTCTAAGTCTTGTTCTAATGCTACTTTAACACTGAAAAAAGTATAGAATTCACAGGAGATTGTTTGTGTGTTAGGTGGGTGGAGTGTGGGGAATCAGTGGATCAACATTAAGATAAGCTTCTAATAAAATTATCATTGTTATAAATTGTATACAGTACAATAATACCCCTAAAAAGACCACTTCTCATTTTACTAAGTATACATGTAGTGCAATGTTAACAAGCCAAATTTTCTTAATTCCCCAATTAACAGGATTTCCAAGAGTATTGGGCTGCATAGATGGAACGCACATAAGAATAACCAAACCATCTGGGCCCCAGGAAGCAGATTTTGTCAACAGAAAGCAGTACCATTCTCTAAATGTCCAGGTACCTTTGCATCAGTTTAGATAATTCATAAATTCTTTTGACATCACCAATAAACCACTAAATATTTCTTATGTTTACTGATATCATAAACTTTTATCAAATAAACAATCAAGAAAACTTCTTAGGAAGTATCATTTTTACACTCCCCACTCCCTCATTTTCTTATAGATGGTCTGTGATCCCTCTTTTAAAATCAAAAGCATCAGCTGTAACTGGCCAGGGGCTACTCATGACAACAGGATATTTAAAATGTCTGCATTATGTCAGCAATTTGAACAAGGTATAAAGGAAACATGACTTTTACAATTTACCTACATTCATGGTAGTTAACTGTCTGCAATGGTGCATACATGCAAGAAACATATTCGAAATGATTTGTTTTTGTCAGGTGACCATGATGGCCTTCTACTTGGTGATTCAGGTTACCAGTGCCGCCCATTTCTCATGACGCCTTTTGTAAATCCTGCAAATGAAAGTGAAAAGCGATACAACAATTCATTATGTAGGACCAGAGTGCTCATAGAGCAGACATTTGGCTTTCTGAAAAAGAGGTTCCAATGTTTGTATCTTCTTCGCACAAAACCAGATGTGGCGGTTATGTATATAAAGGCTGCAGTTACCCTACACAACTATGGGATAGAGAGGGGTGAGGTGCTGGAAGCCCAGCAGAATGTTGTGCAGCAGGTGAATGATGTTGACCCTTGCCCTGCTGGGGGTGATGGGTATGCCATGAGGGCTCACATTGTGAGGACCTTCTTCTCCTAGGTGCCATTATCATGACTCTTTGACTATTGAATTAATGGTTGATTAATGATGTAAATATCTTTCTGACATATACAGCAAATATACTTGCACAGTGTGCTGTTAAAGAGAGTACAGATATAAATAATTCTCCAGACAACTTATCAACAGTTTGTTTATTTATTCCTTAACTCAAATGTAGTCATATGACTTTTCAGATAACATAGTCAGATAACTTATTATAAAATACAGAATGTCAGCTCAGAAGGAATATAAATAAATGAAATATCTTCATACACTTGTTTTAAGATAACATTGCGTGTACACAATATTTCCAACTAAACGTTCTTAAAAAAATCCTTAGTGTACAGATGTGAATCCCCAAGTGCTTCTGCTTTTTTACATGTTTGAAGGAACTTCCCTATATTGCTACCTTAACTCACATTTTCAGTTGATCATAATTGTAATACATGTAGTTTATACATGCTAGGTCTAAACCTAAAATACTTTTTAATATACACTATCCTGTACTCATGAAAAAGTGGACATTTTAAAGTAAAATGGTACTCATCTTCAACCTCCACTTAGCTACAAAACTACAAAAACAAAATCTACTCTCCTTAGGAATGTGAGTAAATATCCCCTTTTACAATGATTAATAAATGTGCACTTACAGTGTAATCTATATTATGCAATCGATTGAATATACTTGAATGGAATTGATTTCATTAAATAGGATTGCATGCACAGCTAATTTGTTAAATATCTATAAACAAAACAATTTGAAGAAGGAGAAAAACCTCACATTCTTGTTGACAATAATTAATCTTTGTTTTAAAACTTTTAAAAAATATATATATATATATATTTTTGTTTGTAATATTTTGACAATTCCAAGCATCTCCAAATCCTAATGAAAAAATAAGTATTTTACACTAAGTAACCAATTATATTTTGTACAAGAACTTGTCTCAATTTGTCAAGCATATCATGATAAATACTTTTTTATACATAGTTTTCTGACTCCAATAATTTTTACCAAAACTTTATATATGAATTTTAACGGCTTTTTTAAACAATCAAAGGCTTAAAAAAATTTTGCAGTAACTGAAATTAATTAAAATTGACTTCAGTCTAAAATTATATAAAAAATATTAAAATATGATTTTCCAAACAACTGCCAATCTTACAGTCTTTGAAAGCTAAGATTTCTGAGATAAGATTTGAGTAAAAATCCAGTAACAAAAATATTTTCCCCTCTTATTGAATGGACAAAACTTTTGGTTTTTATATCATATTGGTACTTTACATGACTACTTTTGAGTTAATAAGATACCCCGGAAGAAGAATCTCCTTAACTTATTTACTAGATCTTGACCTTAAGGCTCAGATAAACTCAATTTCATGTCATAAAACCTCTGTTTTGTATCAATTAATTTAATTTCCTTCTCGATCTTAATCATTTCTAACTCTAATTTCCTTTGTTCTAGTCGAATTCTTTTCGAGTCCTCCAAGATGTTTTCTTTTCTCTCATCTATCTTTTTCTTCTCGCTGACTTTACTACATGTAGTACCTTAAAATAAAACATAAGATAAATTTGACAAATTCAAATTCATACCTTTAGGTTTGAAAATACCGGGGTATATCATTTCATTGGTTTAAAACTTTGAGTGCATAAAGAAGTCTGAAATATAAATGCAAGTTGTTAATTGTTATCAATTTTAAATCTTGAGGCTTTATGGGATTTGGTGAGATGAACAACCCTTAATTACATCCAGAAAAAAGATAAAAATAATACCTTAATTCTTAAAGAACCTAGTGTGGTCCTTATGGTTCAAGAAATAAACAACAATGTTAAAAAGGTTCTCTGGGAAATGAACTATTAGTTAGTCAAGTGATCAAATCCTGTGAAACCCGAAGGGCTTCTCAGTAGATTTGATCACACACCAACTAAAAGTTTATTTTCCAGTGAACTTTTTAACATTGTTGTTTATTACTTATATTTATATTTGAGACAAATTCCGAATAAAACTGTATTTATTACACGAATGGCCGCTGTATTGCTATGATGTGACACGCAATGACCCTGGGGGCCTATAAGCTGTTTGGTTTAAAAGTTTGTTGTGCTCCAACATTTAAACTTTACAATGATGTTCTTCAGGCTCGTACAAGAATTCTGTGTTTATAATGTAAGAACAATGATCCGCACTGAGAATAATCTTACTATGGAATGAGTTTTTAATATTAAACTTGGTAGTTCCGAAAACAGACAGAAATATATGACCTCTGACCCCCATATAAAGTTCACAAATAGAATTGAACATATTTTTTCTCCAATAAGTTCATCTAAGAAAGAATAATGCAAATGTAAATATTTCAGGTTATATGACATACTTAGTGCAGGTATTAAATTATTCCTCTATCATTTCTCTTTATAAAGATGGGACCCATCATCTGCATATATTTACATTTCACAGGTATTTTGCTTATAAAGAATGTGGAAAGTAAAGGCATTCAAAGCACCATCAGTAGACATGAGAATTTTACAGACAGACAGATAGACAAACCATTAGACACAGGTTGGCAGGTGATCAGAAAAGCTCTAGGCCCAGGGGAAATAAAACTTAAATGAACTCACTTTTGATCTAAGTCTCACTTTTCTAGTATCAATTCCTTTGTTTACTAAAAATGAGATTGAGATTAAAAGTGAGCTATTCTAAGTTTCATGCCCTGAAGCCAGAACTTACTGCTAAGGTTTGCTAAAAAGGTGCAACCTTGGTCAAGCAAGTTATCTTACCTCTGCTTTCTTTATCTTTTGAGGTTTCAGTCTGTGGTGCTGCTAAAAAATAAAGGAAAAATTTAATGTTTGCAAACAAAGATTAACAAATGAAGCAATTGAGTATCATTTTATTTCCAGTCACAATTCATACATCCCTTAATTTCCGACTCAAACTGATTTAAAGTTTGCAACGATCATTGTTTTTAAGAGAAATTTATGAGTATTAATTATATTGCCATTTTATCTTAAGAAAAATGGGATATGTATGTGTTTCATATTTTCACCATTTACTCACAAGCAACATCCTGACTTTTCTCGCACTCTTTGTTATCGGTAGTTAAAACTACAACTGAAATGAAAACAAGAGTGTAGTAGTGATCAAATTCACATACTCTATTGTTAAGTAAGATAGTTACAATGTACAGAGAACATGGTTCTTGTCTTCCTTACTGTCACTGTCAAATCCTGCCTCTAGGCCAAAGATGCTTGGCCTACCATCCTGTCTCTGCAGGAGTACCTCCTCTGCCTCTGAGAGTTCCACTTCAGCCCCCTGTCCGCCACCTGTCTTTCTACATTCTTTCTTAAGGAAATCTATTTTTTCTTTGGCTGTTGAAAGTAAAAACATGCTTTAGTAATAATATATGGCATGTCTGAGCTATAAAGGTTGAGTGTACATGAGCAAGATATTTGTTATTTACATTCAAATTAAAATTTCATCAGTTTTGAACCCCTATAACCCTAGGCTTATTGTTGACTTAAAACTCGTTTGATATCTAAATGCTGAGTCAGTAAATACATTGTAAATTGGTTATTAAGGTTTTTTAAAATGTCTCATATCTACTGTGTATGAAGTAGTCAATTAAAATTGTGTAGTTCACAGAAAATCCTATCATTAACAAAAAGAGATTATAAAACAAAAAGCAACGTCTTTTTGAATTTTATTTAAGATTATACTGTTGTATTGAATGGTTAACAAATTCTTGATTTAAGAAAGGTTGCAGGTGAGAACTTAAACTGAAGCCAGTGATCATGGTGATAATACAACATATTCTCTCTCTTTTTTTTTAACTAAAATTCTTACTGAGAATGGACTTACTAAGAATACAAACTAAACTAGAAAACTAATTTAGATCTAGCTGACATGTAGGTGTTTAGAACACATAAGTGTTTGCAGAAATTAAATTCACTTACTCCTTTGTTTCGCATTGTTATACTTTTTTCTGCACTCCTCTGGCGTTCTCTTGCTGTTCGTGAATTGTCTAGAAAAACAAGACTTAAACATTAAATTTATGATTTTGTTTTTCCTCTTTTCTGTTTCCTTTTAAGCATTGAAATTCAATTTGTCTGCACGGCCAGGTGTGTTATAGGACCGAAGACATCCAAAAATATGAATTCAATGCTTATATATTTACATTCTCTAATTTTCCTTTTTCATAATTGCTTATTTCGTTAATCTTAAATGTGAATTTAGCGCCCTTCAAAACTGCCGTGGTTAATAGATGTAAGAGCCGATTGTGACGTCAAGTGACGTTAAAAGACGTTGCAAAGTTAAATAACGCAAACAAACATTGCGAGGAATTAAAAAGTGACAAATTAATTTTAAACGCATATTAGGTTAATTTTATGTTTATCTTTTAGGTTTATAGTTTTTCATTAAATTGAAATAAAACATTTCACATTTTGGTGTTCCTAGTATATTGAAAATGCATATGCTTCCGACTGTGTATTCTAGCGCGCGGTGACAAGGTTTCGCGTGTGTGATAGAGATTCGGACGTCATGGATTTCTAATGGATTTCGTAAGGAAAATTACACTGAATGTAAATATATATTGATAGACCGGAGAGCTACAGTGCCACCCATTGAAAAAACTGTATATTAGCGCGGTAAGATAATTTGTCGGCACGGCCAGGTGTGTTATAGGGCCGAAGACATCCAAAAATATGAATTCAATGCTTATATTTACAATCTCTTATTTTCCTTCTTAATAATTGCTTATTTCGTTAATCTTTAATGTGAATTTATTTCCCTTCAAAACTGCTGTGGTTAATAGATGTAAGAGCCGATTGTGACGTCAAATGACGTTAAATGATGTTGCAAAGTTAAATAACGCAAACAAACATTGCGAGGAAAAAAGTAACAAATTAATTCTTAATGCACATTACGTTGATTTTTCAGGGTTATAATTTTTCATTAAATTGCAATAAAACATTTTAAAATTTGATGTTTCTAGAGTATTGAAAATGCATGTAGTTCCTACTGTGTATTCTAACGCGCGGTGACAAGGTTTGGCGTGTGTTATAGAAAGAAGAAGGTACAGTTTCAATACAAATAAAGCCCTATATTTTTCTAAAATATGAAAGTGATATACGAAATTAAAATTCATTCTTTCTGAAACATAGGAATTCTTTGCAGTAAGAATACACAAATGGTTTTCTCACATGACCTTCTAAATGCTAATCGTGACGTCATTATTTTGTGCATTTTCCCGTATTTTCTTCAAAAGTTGCAGAAGACATCAATTTTCAGTGGAATTTTCTTTTAGAAAACATACTCTGCCACCGTCGCCCGGAAAGATTTTGAGATATGTAATTTTTCATAGCTGTTTGCACAATATATCCAAAACTTAAAGCGGGCGACGGTGGCAGACTCTATTTTCTAAAGGAAAATTAGCAGAAAAAAAGTCATTTTGAAGCTTTTCTGCATTAAGCTTAAAAATGTACCAAATTAATGACGTCATATTTCAAGAAAGGCTCTTCTTCATGGCATATTCTTTAATGAGTTATCATATTCAACTATTCAACCATTGTTAATGCCAATTTCATAACTTTTTAAGAACATTAAATTTTTAGGGCACAATATAGCTTAAACCGTACCGTCTTCTTTGAACGTCGTGAATTTCTAATGGATTTCATTAAGAAAATTACACTGAATGTAAATATATTGTTTATAAAATTTATTTTTATTGGCCTCAATTAATCATAATTATGAGCTATGGCTTAGAAAACAAGAGGCCCATGGGCCACATCGCTCACCTGAGAAGCTTTGACCATTCTGTTCTTTACGAGATTTCCCCCTTGTTATAGATAATGCATCCCCACCCTACCCCACTGATCATAATTTAGACATTTTGAAATCTACACTACCCCATGATCCTTCCATGGGCACATATGTTTCAGCTTTTTTGGCCCAGTGGTTCCTGAGAAGAAGATTTTCAAAGATTTTTCCTTTATATTTCTATATAAAACTTTGATTCCCCATTGTGGCCCCACCCTTCCCCCGGGGGTCATTATTTGAACAATTTAGAATCTACATTATACAAGGATGCTTCCA